CTCACGTGCCTAGTCAGCACTTCAGCCGTAATCCAGTTGAGGCGCTTCGCGCTATCATCAGTGTGCACTTTACGAGTCAGGAGCACTCTAGCTTCGGTTGCACTTAGACGTCTTTGTATGTCTGCGTGGTGATTCGATAGAACTCTGGCCCACGTCACTCCCTTGTGTGGTCTCGCACGGATCGCGTGCGGCACTTAGCGTTTTTACGTGAATTTTTTGCCTGATGTAAGAAACACCTTCTGAAGGTTCTCTAAAACTCACTTGTCTCCTTTACATATTATAACCTGATTGACAAATAACACTCGTGTTACATTAGTATCATTTCTCGTATACACAGCAGATGGGTGGCATACCTCATGAATTTTGCTAAATTCATATTTATTGCTCTTTTAATGTATTTATTCTCTTTGTACATGACACATCGACATTCATAACATTCATACTCTCATTTCGTGCCTCATGTAACTAAACTCCATAAACAAATGGAGTAGGAACACAAGGATCCTAGACTATATATAGTTGAAACCGAAAGAACTTGCTGACCTGCTCTTCTTATCACTGTTCTATGCATTGGCCGGATGCTGTTTGGCGTCTGTCGTACGTAATCTAACTTATCGGCTGTTCTTATCCATCTCATTTCCAGCTCTCATAATCATCATCATGTTGTATACTCTTGATATATATGTTTTCTACCCATTACCTGCTACACACGCTATTGCATTCATTCAGTTGTGCTGTTCTCTCTCTACCCCTTCCTCCTCCACTCATCATGTGTACAGAATTATACGGTTACTTTAATAGTTGCCTCTTTTTTTTTTTGGAGTAAGCCATCAACCCATAAATATGATGTACTTACGCGGATTCGTTTGTGATATTCATCGATTTATCCACTGTGTCCTCCTTGTTCATGGACGTTTAATAGCATTGTTACTTATGCCTATCTGATGATCAGATTAGGTGTTGATATTGGCTTCGTTGATTTGCTCGTGAGGCGGCATATTCGACAATAAAGCATGGAGGTATATTTGGGTATATGCTTATTTACGCATCCCAATATTATTAATGCTTTAAATCCTTAAATGTGATTTGGTCCTTGATTTGGACCCATTTTGGGCCCGGATTAGACCTTATTTGGTGTTGTTGTGTTTGTTTCGCTGAGTTCGCTCATTTGACTATTTAGTTGCAAATGAAAGTTCATATGGTCCTGAATTAATTTCAAACTTTCAAATAGAATATGCCCTCGAATCATATCAGATGATTTTTGGGTTACATATCAAAGTAGATATATCATTGTTATGTAATCTTAAACGCTTATTATCTTAATTTTACTAAATAGTAATTATGGTTAATGTTAAATAATAAGAAATTTTTTTTTTTTTGTTTCATAGTTTATGTGGTAATTAACAATATTTACTTGATAATTAGAAAATAGGAAAATTTAATATTTAATATTCTGTATGTATATTTTAGTAAAAGGAATATTTACGAAGTAGCCTCTAATAATTCACATATTTCCCTGTAAGGCATTCTGTAATATTTAATATTTATATTCTATGTTAAACAATAAAACATTTAATATTTATTTGATATCATAACAATATTTAGTGTGCATATCTACTTGTTGTAGATGAAGAACAACATTGTCAATATCAAATATCACCGTTTGCAAAAGTATGAGATACACTTTATCATTTGTTGAAGAGGAAGAGATGAAGAGGCAAATGTAATATGATGAAAGAAAATGAAAGTGGAGAAGTGAAAGACACAACATTTCTTACACACAGTAAGGAGTTTTGGTGATTCAAGAGATGTATAGTTTATTGATAGTGGTTTGTAATAATCACATACTCGATAAATAGAAGCTTGTTTGTTACTTAGATAACTCCAATCAAAAGTGAAGTAGCACATAAGATGAACAGTAGATTATTTGTGGAAGGAAAATGATGCTATTTTGGTGCAAACAAGAAAGGAAGAGAAAGAATATATCATGTCTTCTATTTTCACTCTTAAGCATAAATTTGCTAAGTGTTGGCAACTAAATCAAAGGGATATGTATTGATGTTTTCCTCATGAACACTTGTACCATTAAAGATAAGCATGGATTTTTTATATCCAAGGTTGAAGGTGATTCCAAATAAAAATGTATCCTATAAAGATGATTGCAATTTAAATGATTGTTTCAAAATTCTATAAAAAATCATTCTAGATTATGGCATTGCAGATTTGGTCACTTAAGTTCCAAGATCATTTCTACAATGAGACCAGAAGAACATAGTTGATGGACTTCCTATATAGAAGTTCAAGACAAGATTGTGAGACATGTGTTGTAGAAAAGGTATAGCAGAACATATTTTATTGAAAAATTATTGAGAGCTTGAAAGCATTAGAGCTTAATTCAATTCAGTTTATGTGGACCGATGCACATTACTTCTATTGGAGGTATATATTATGTTTTTCATATTTATTGATGATTATAGCAGAAATTTTTTGATGTATTTTCTAAAAAAAAGTCACAAGTATTTAAATAAACCACTAAAAAAATTTAAAGCACTTGTTAAGAAGGAAGTGGCATTTCTTAAGGTGTTGAGGAGTGATAGAGGTGAATAATATGTTAATCATGAGATACAAATTTTTTGAAGGAGAATGTATTGCCATCAGTTAACAACTAGATACCACACCACAACAAATGGAGTAGTCTGAGAGGTTGAATAAGACATTATGGGATTAGCTAGGAGTATGTTGAAGGAGAGGTAGTGTCCAATCTTCTTTGGGCTGAAGCATGTTATGTGTTTGCTTATTTGTTAATAGTCCAACATAAAAAAAATCCATTCAAATCCCCTTTTTAAAAATTTGGAGTGCCCTTAATCCTATGTTGATCACTTGAAAGTTTTTTGGGGAGCATTTCTATGTTTATGTACGTGATCAAAGAGAGAAGGGAGTTGGATGAAAAATTAAGAAGTGTGTGCTTGTAGATACAATGAAATAGGTCCCCTAAAGCCTATAAATTGTATAATCCTTCAACAAAGAAAGTGGTTGTGAGTAGGGATGTGAGATTTTGAGAAGAGCTTAGCTTGGATTGGCTGGAATAAGGATAGCAAGGAGGATGCCACAGATTAATGAGAATTCAAAAAAAAAAAAATTTGATGATGTAGAGCAACAAACACCGTACCACCACACTACGGTGGATTTTGGGAGATTTCATCTCGTATGATTTGGAAGAGGTGAAGATAAGAGCTCATAGGAGATAATGAACCAAAAATTATAAATGAAGAGGTTTCTCAATTTAACTTTTATACTATAGATGAAGAGTACTTACTTTTAATGAGACCAGTTATAAAATTAAGAGATGGATGATGCCATGAAAGAGGAGATTTGATGCTATTGAGAGAATGATAATGGAGTTTAGCCTCACTTCCTAAAGGTTAAAAAATCCATTGTGTTAAGTGTGTGTACAAAGTGAAGAATAATGTTTATGGAGGTGTAACAAATTTAAGGCTGACCTTGTAGTTTAAAGGGTAGCAAGTGAAGCAATGGATATATTATGAAGAGGTATTTGCAAAGGTTGCTAAGATTTGATACATTTATTTTTTTTTTTTTTTTTTGCAGTATGAATAGATGATAGATTCTCAATTAGATGTGAAGTCAGCTTTCCTTGAATGAATGTTTTTGGAGAAAGAAGTATATAATAGATCAGCTTGAAGGTTTTTATTATGAGGAAAAGAGCAATATGATGTACCACTTTAAAAATGCATTGGTAGGCTTGAAGTAGCCCGATGGCCTTGGAATTTATGTAATGATAGCATTTTAAGAGAGAAGGGTTCATTAAATGTCTTATAAAATATGGTGTGTATATGAAGATTGACTTCAAATGACAATATATTGATTATATGCTTATATGTATATGATTTGTTTATAAACATGTGATATGAGCAGATGATGTGTAGACTTTAAATCAGTCTGTGTTTAAAAGATTTGATAATGACATATTTGGCCTCATGTTATTACTTTTGGGTATAGAAGTGTATCAAAAAGGATGAGGCTTTGGATATGTTACAAAGAGGTATGCAAAAGAGTTGCTTAAGAATTCAGGATGAATCATTGCAAATAGTGTGCCAACACCATACAAACTGGAGTTCATTTCATAAAAGAAGGAGAGTAATTAGTTGATATGATATTTGTACACAAAATTGATTGGGCACCTCAGAAACTTGGACAGTGATGAACCTGACATGTTGTATAGTGTGGGCATCTGGAGCAGAATTCATGAAAATCCAAGGGAGTCTCAATGCTTGTAGTGAAGAGGATTCTTAGATATATAAGTAGGATAGTTTGAGTTGAACAATTCATTATCAGGTGTAGTGGAGACATGAGGTTACTTGGATATTGTGATAGTGACCTGAACTTGACGCAAAATGAAAAGAAAAAACACAAGTGAAATATTGTTTTATATTGGTGATCAACTTTAGCTTGGGAGCACACAGAAGGCAGAAAGTTTGTATCATTATCTACATGTGAGCAGAGCTATATAGCAGCAGACAACAACGAACTTGTGAACTAATGTGGTTGAAAATTTGTGTTGAAGGAATTGTTATGGAGAGATTGATGGAAACTACAATAAT